GGTGATTTAATTAATTTGGTTTTGGGCCTTTGTTTGGTGGGTTCTTGGGTGTTTTAATGTCTTTATGACAACATAGATTTTCCCTAAACTTATATACCTTTCTTAGAACAAGCAGCTGGGCTTCATACGCATGAACTGAGAGCTGGTAATCTCGTTTATCTTGGGTGGTGTGACTTACATTGGGCAGGGAAGCATGTTCAATGATAACCTTAAGGGGGTATTCATTTTTTGGATTTTGAGAGGAATAAAATTGGTCAATGGGAATCAAAATCCCATTGACCAAAAAATCTATATTCTTTTTTCATATTTATTAGTAATTAAGCAGTGCAATATTTGTACATGAAAATTTTAAATTATAAAACAATTATTATTATTTGGGTTCTTTAACAAAAAAATAATGGAGTTTCATGAATTTACAAATTTCAATATGTATATTACGAAAATAACGAGCGGGACAAGAAAATCATTTTCTTGGACCAAATTGCCCCTTTTATAAATCTGCAAATTAAATTACTGTTCATCGTCTTCCTCCTCCCAACACTTAGGTATAGAACTTGGTGGGGTAAGCCTTCTTCTCATCTCATCTCCTACTCTCTCTCTCTCTCTCTCTCTCTCTCTCTCTCTCTCTCCCTTCCTTCGTCTTCCCCTATCTCCACCCACCGCTATAACTCAAGCCAATAGCCAACAATGATCCTTCGGTCTGTCACTATTGCCACTGTAATGCTGGAAATCCAAACTTATCCACCATCAATCTCTCTCTCTCTCTACATCAACCGAACCAGTCCCCTCATCGCCCTACTCTATCTCTCATCGTCGCTGCAATTCGAATCAATAGTGACGCTAGAAACCGACCCTATTAGTTATCCTCTCTAGCTTGTTTTCCACTGGTCCCCTGTGATCTTTTTTTTTTTAATTTCCCACCTTTTCCTCTATCCTATGATAGCATAGTCGCCCATTCATTATCAACACCTCCCTGTACTCCAACTTCCTCATTTTTGCTTGCCGCTACAACCCAGATTAACAAAAATGATAGAATTTTTTTCTCTCCCCAGTAACTCGATCATTTACCATCAAGAACTGAGTATAATGTGTTCTTGTCACTATTGGTGTCGTTTAGAGGAGGGACATGAGATTCAGGAATTTGGTGGAGTCAAGACGCTAGTTCAAGATTCTAATGGTGGTTTTGCTATAGCGAGAATGATGGGGAGAAGAAGGGGCAACCATCGGACTGATTCAATGGTCACCATGCTTGACGGTGCCAATGGGAAAGAAGAAGAAGAAATATAATGAGAGAAAGGAAGAGAGAAAATCAGAATTGGGGAGGTAATTTGGTCCATAAAAGTTAACTTTTTGCCGCTCACTATTTTTGTAATTTGTTTGTAAACGTATCTGATTTTGTTGATTCAATCAACTTTTATATTTCTGTAAAAAACCCTTATTATTATTATTATTATTATTATTATTATTATTATTAAATTTTGTATTTCATTTTAACATAAATAAAAATAATTTTTATTTAATATGATGAATATACAACATTAGAAATGTTCCCAAATGTTTTTTATAAAATTTTATACTTTTTCATTATTTGTGTTCTATCTTTTTTAAATATTTATTATTCAATTATGACATCATGAGTTTCTTTGAAAAGTTGAATCATTGACCCACCACCTAGATAATAAAATAGCTTTGCTTTTTTATCAGTTTTAAATTATATATTTTATCTATACTATATAAATAATTACTTATCACACTTGATTTTTGTTTGACATAATTAATATATAATTTTTTATATATTCTTTGGATTACTTATACTTTTTTTTTATTTTTTAAAGATTTATTATTTAATGATCATATCATCGACTAATCTATTTGACCCAAAGTACTAACCCACCACCCAAAAAGAAAAATAGTTTGATTTCTAGGTTGACATTAAATTTTGTACTACATTTCCATCATTGATAAAATTATTTCTTATGTATAATGCTAATTTTTGTTCAATATAACGAATGCATAATATTAGAGATATACCCAATATTTTATTTTTTATAAATATATAACATTAGATATGTGCCCAAAATTTTCTCTATTTTTTATTTTAGTATTTTTTTGTATTTTCTATTTTTAAAAAATTTATTATTTGACTATTACATCATTTTATTTCTAAGTTGATTTTAAATTTGACATTCCATTTTCATCATTAATAAAAATACTTCTTACATTTCATACTTATTTTTTGTTTAGTATAATAAATATACAATATTAGAGATATGTCAAATTCTTTTTTTGTACTATATATTTTATTTATTTATTATTTAATTATGGAATTATTTATTAAACTATTTGACCCCAAATGGTTGAATACGTGAATTGCTTACCCACCACTAGGAGGGAAGAAAATGATTTTGTTTTCAAATTACTTTTCCAAATATTTATTTTTATACTAGTAAAATTAATATTATAGATTTAATTAGTAGAATTTAATGGTAAGAAAAATATATCTTAAATATAGGATTTAATGAGAGAATATACCTTAGATATGATATTTAATGAGAGAGAATAGGAAAATAGTTTTATATCTAATTGGTTTTAAATTTTATTTTCCATTTCCATCATTAAGAAAAACAAATATTATTATTCATACTTATTATTGTTTAATATGTTGAATATATGATGTTAAAAAATGTTTCCATTGTTTTAATTTAAATATTTTTTATATTTTATCTATTATTGAATTTTATTATTTAATTGTGACAACATGGATTGGCCCATTTAACCCAAAATGGTTTAATTTTTTACTACCTAGACTAAAATATTACTTTTTCTATGTAGATTTTAAAAGTATAAGTTTTTATGTTATTGAAATTATTAGTTTATTATGTATGAATTTGATTAATAGAATTTAATGCTGTGAAGAAACAAAAATATGTTAAATATATGATTAAATGAAGGTGAATGCAATTTAATACCTTAAATGTTGGATTTAATAAGAGAGAATTGAATGAATTGAATATATTAAAATTACCTCTTTTCAACTCATTTAATATCAATAACAAATTATCCTATTTGCCCTCATTTTTTATCAATAAATTTAAACATGGAGGGGTAAATTTTGTCCTCAAAAAATTCTAGAAATATTATTGATCCTATTAGTGCTTTTTAAAATAGTATAGATGTGGGGACAAGGGAGAATTTACTTTCTTGAGTATCACTTACCTACCCATCTCCTAGGTAGGTAAATAACTTTTCCACTTAGGGGGGAAGTTGCCAACACTTGAATGAGACAAATAATGCCCCTTTTAATAATGAATTTTTATGGCTAAAATGGCTAATGCCTTATTTACATGGGAAATAAAAGAGTATGGGGAAATGCACTTACCCAGTTAAGTTTTTGTTGAGAAACATTTACCTGGGTAAGTAACTTATCGAAAAACAAACGTTGCCTATGAAATGTTTGAATTTGTTTATTCTTTCTATTGAATGAGAGAAAATTATTAATAGGCGTTGGAAGGATAAGTTGCTTTTGTGGCAACCAATATTCAGAGGAATGATATTGAATTTGTTTCTATGAATGACCCTCATCTTTGGCGAGATGCTTATTACTATTTTCTTGGCTGCCATTGTTTCTGTTTATAAAAAGATAAATATTTAGTAATAAAGTTATTATCATATAATATAGGGAGAATGACGGTTCAGCCCAGGGTCAGAATTTGTTGGCTCAAAGTACTGTTGGGGTAGGTGCAGGCTCGGAATTGATGCCAATTCATGGGCGGGCATTGATGTATAGAGTGTGGATTGTTGACATTTTGAATGTTTATAGCTCTACAATGGAAATCAGAAATCTGCATTGGGCCTGTCCGTACCTTTCCGTATAATATATTTGATATTATGAAATAATATTCAATAATAATTGATGTTTAAAATGCATCTAATTCTGTAAGACATGAAAGCAGGTCTTATCGATTCAGACCTGAATTTGTGTTTCAAATCCTCTAATAAGACCCAAACTCAGATGTAATTGCATTTGAAAAATCAAAGTTTTCAGAGCTGACGTTTAAAAAGTATTTTCAAATGCCACCTCAGAACTGACTATGAGGTCTTGAGAGTCCTGAAACAAGAAGGGATCTTGGTTGCTGATAGAGATGTATTTAGTTCTGATCACGCATTGGCTTGTTGGTTCTATCTTCTATGGTTGTCAATGGACCAGATATCGGTTTATTAACAGACAAAATATATATGAAATAATCGCAAAAGATAAAAAATGCATAAAATATAGTGAACAAAATATTTCTTTTAGTTTGTATACGGTTGAAATGCAAATTTATTTGCATTGATGCAAAACCGTGGTAGTGCATGCAAATGATTTCAATGTAAATTATGATTTTTTTTTTTTGATTTCAAAATTTTACCTTATTTTGTTTGGTTTCAATACAAACAAAGTAAATTAAACCCAAAACAAAATTAAATCAGAATTTGCATTATTTTTTATCATCTGCACTCCCAAGCATTTGTACTAGTGCAAATAAAATTGCACTGTAACCAAACACCGCCTAGAGAATTTAAAAAATATGAATACTAAAACTAGAAGCTTTAGTCAGTTGCATTTGTAATAATTATAATTAGCTGTTAAAATATTAATACAAATAAAATAAGCTACACATGTGACAAAAATGGTATTAAAATTTTTGTGAAATTTCTGAAAATTATCTCTGATTCAGAAATAAAAAAGAGGTGATTTTTCAGAAAATTAAAAACCTTTCAGCAGATGACTTCCACACCGACTTGTGACAAATATTCTTACATGGTCTCTTTATTAGGTACAATATAGTATAGAACAGGAATTCAAGGAAGACCAAAAGAGAGAATTTAAAAATTAAAGAAAAACAAAAGTACAATTCAACACCAAATTTGATGGACAATCCAATCACGGGAAGAGGAAATTGAATTCTTTCCCGTTATTACTGATAACTAGAAGCCATGATTAAAGACTTACACACGCTTCAAGCATTTCCATGGTTAACAAACTGCGTTTTGATTTCAGTGAGTCTAACAACCACCTGTTTCATGTTAATTCTCTGGTCAGGTGACTCTCTAGAGCAGTCCAGAGCTAATTCCATGATGGATGAAAGACCATGTTGTATCACCATCATATCGTTTTCGCTTCTGTTAAGAAGATCTGTATCCACAATGTCCATTACTGCATTAGGAAGTGAAGCTTTCACCCATTGCTTTAGGCTCAACTCTCCAGCAAACATGGTATCTGTAGGCTTCTTTCTTGTAAATATCTCCATTAACATGATCCCATAGCTGTAAACATCACTGCTTGTTGATGCTTTTCCTTCTGATCCGTACTCTATTTGTGCAATTTCATACATCAGGAAAGTAGAAAAACAATTTAAAGGAAATGCATGTAATAATTCTTCAATTACTGAATCTACATGATTCAAGAGAAAAGACGACAACAAAGTAGATGGGAACAATAAGAACAACCTCATGCTTCACACTTCATCACCAACATTTTTTGTAAACCAAACAAGTGGTTGAACTAAATGACTTATTTCTTTTCCCTTTGATAGAAAATATTTAATAATAAAATATTCAAGGGTAGTTATCAAGGTTTACTCAATTGGATCAAACAAGGGTAAAATGAGATTTCACCTCAAAATAAACAAAGCACAAACAATAAAAATCTCCTCGCTGTTTAACCAAAAACAAGATAACAGTTCTCCCACAGTAGTTCATGCAGCTTAAGCTAATTTTACATTTTTAGAAACTAGAGTTGATAGAGGTTTCTATATTCAAAAGAGCTGGTGGAAAAGCCATCCCAATAAGAGATGGAAGAGGATTTTGTATGCTTTTTTCAAGCTCTCATCTTCTTAATTAAAAGAAAAAGAATAATAATGAAAGGGCTAAATTAAAATGGCAAATATAAGGATTAAAGACAACATAAAAGCAAAACTCTTACCAGGAGCAATGTATCCTATACTGCCAAGAGTCTGGGTTTGTACTGCACTCTTGTCTGTAGCTAATATCTTTGCAATACCAAAATCACCCACATGTGCCACAAGCTCCTCATCAAGGAGGACATTGCTTGGCTTCAGATCACAATGCACCACTGGCTCTGAATAGTGGTGATGTAGATATTCCAATGCCAAGGCAACATCTCTCATAATGTTTATCCTTTGCAGGAGATCCAAGGAATGATTGTCAGAATATAACCATTTCTCAAGGCTCCCATTTGGCATAAACTGCATCACCAGAGCTCTGAAATTGTAGTTGGAACAAGTAGTAATTAGCTTGACAAGATTTCTATGTCTTACATTGAGCAGTACTCGACATTCTGCACGAAAACTCTCAAGTGTTCCTTCAAGCTGCAAATTCAAGACTTTCACGGCAACTATCATTCCATCAGTCAACGTTGCTTTGTATACTTCAAGTATGTTTGCACCATGGAAGTTGGTGGTTGCTTGAAGAATCTCTTTGTATGTAATTGTTTTATGTGTCGCTGGAGCTGATGGATCAACCTCTAATGGAGCATGTGCCTGTTTCATTCCATACTTCACCAGTAGAGAGCAGGAGACAAGGAATGTGATAAAGGCAAATGCAAGAACGATTAAAAGAACATGTTCAAGTTGATGAGAATTTGTTCTGGGCTTTGCACAGGCTGGGATTTGATGATCTTTTGACACACCACACAGTGCTTCATTCCCCAAGAAAGATTGCACTGTAAAGTTTGCAAATGGTCCTCCATTGGGAATTTCTCCTTGGAGCCTATTATATGAAAGATTCAAACAATTGAGAAGCAGAAGTTTCTCCAAAGACGTTGGAATCTCGCCTGATAGACTATTGTAAGAGAGATCCATGGATTCCAGACTAATTAAATTGCCCAAGGGTTGAGGAATGGAGCCATGTAACTGGTTTCGTGATAAGCTCAAATGATTTAGTCTTTGGAGGTTGCCTATGGTATATGGAATGCTACCAATCAACTGATTCCAAGACAAGTCCAGTTCTTCTAGGGAATTCAAATTTCCCAATTCCAGAGGCAGATTTCCATGCAAAGAATTATGTGTCAGATTCAAAACTAATAGACTTTTTAGAGCCCATAGACTTGAAGGTATTTCAGAAGTTAACAGATTGAAGCCTATGTTGAGGCGATATAGATCACTAAGATTTCCCATGCACTTCGGTATCTGCCCAGAGAGCTTATTTCCCTCAAGATTTAGTTCCCCCAATCGCACCAGAGAACAAAGATCATTTGGAATGGACCCTTGTATGCTGTTATATCTTAGGTCTAGCCTTTGTAGCTTTCCTAACCTTCCAATTGTTGATGGAATGGTTTCACCAATTTCATTGCCAAAAAATTCAAATGTAATTAAATTGCTCAAGTTTCCAACTTCTTCAGGAATGCCACCCTTAATCTGACACATATCTCCCATGAAAATTTGAAGAGAATTGGAGAGGTTCGCTATTGAATTTGGTAAGATGCCATTCAATTGATTTTCCCCTATAATCAAATACTCCAAGTTTCTACAACTTGTTAGAGTTGTGAGAAATGTAATTTCTCCACTCCTAGTTGCATGGTTAGTTAATTGATTATCCCCAATATTGAGAATTCGGAGATTTTGCAAATTCCCCAGGGAAGTAGGTACTGGACCAGTGAAGAAGTTATTACCCATGTCTACAGCACGCAGCTGAGAAGCATTTGAGATAGAATTGGGTATTGGTCCACTAAGATTATTAGTATCTAGATATAGTTCTTTAAGATTGGGAACCAATAATCCAAGGGTTGTTGGAACATACCCTGAGAGAAGATTATGAGTGAAGGAAATCACTTGAAGACTCGATATGTTAAGAATCTGTTCTGAAACTGATCCCATGAAATTGTTGAAGCTCAAACTCAAGATTTGCAAATTTTGAAGACGACCCACTTCTTCAGGAATGACGCCCATCATGTTATTGTGTTCCAATTCAAGTACCAGCAGGTTTGAAAGGTTACCCACAGATGGAGGAATCATACCCGTGAAAGAATTATAGCGGAGATACAACCCCTCGAGGCTAGACAAGTTCCCAATTTCTTCAGGCAAGGCTCCTGTAAATTTGTTCTTAGACAATGACAGATATCTCAGCTTTGAACATTGGCATCCACTAGATGGAATTCCACCACTGAGTTGATTGCCTCCAAGATCAAGGTATACAAGGTTAGGAAGGAGACGCCCGATATCCATTGGGAGGCTACCGGATATGCTATTGTTTGCGAGCCAAATGCCTTTTAGAGATGAGATATCAAATATGGAAGAAGGAATGGAGCCCGTCAAATGGTTTTCAAAAAAGATTAATTCCTTCAAGCTGAGTAGATTACCGAGCTCGTTGGGAATACTTCCTTCCAGGTTATTGGATGATAAGTCAAAGGTCTCAAGAAACGATAGGTTGCCAATGGAAGGTGGGATAGTGCCAGTGAGAATATTACCTGCAAGAGATAATAGACGGAGCTTAGTTAGGGTTCCAAGCTCTGTAGGCACAACTCCACTGAGCTTGTTGTTTGACAGTGACAAGGCTTCAAGTTCCCGGCATTCCGACAAGCTAGCCGGAATAACTCCTTCCAACTGATTCTGTCCCAGGTTTAGTACCTTCAGACGGTGTAAATGGCCAAGCTCGTAGGGTAGGTGGCCCTGGAAATTGTTGTTGCTGAGGTCAAGCACTGTGAGGAATGAGAGGTTGCTCAGCTGGGGCTCGATGGTGCCCACGATGCCCATAGAGGAAAGATTCAAGACAGTGATTCGTCGACCAAAATTGTCACACGAGACTCCAATCCAATTGCAGAAGGAAGACTCTGAAATCCAATTGTTGGCCAAGATATTATCAGAATCAAGGGTCATGCGAGCTTTGAAGGCCAACAAGACAGACTTCTGATCAGTGACGTTTGGCGAAGATGCAGCCACCCGTGCCATGCATGAGCATGAATAAACGAACAAAGCTGTTACCACAAAAGACACCAATAAGCCAGTCTTCTCCATGGCACGAGATAGAAGGAAATAGAATGGAGATCAAGTATCTAATTAGTATCTAACTTTATATGATCTAAGGGGTTCGTTTCATGGCTCCATCGATCAGCCATCAAATTGAGAGCCCACTTTTTTTCCCGTCATTTTGCTATTATTTTATGATTTATTCAGTTTACTAATTTCCAGCTCCCACTTGTTTTGTTCTTTAGCAAAAAAATTTCCATGCAAGAGAGCTGGGTTACGTTCTCTTTTTGTCTCAACGTAACCCATCATTTCATCAGATACAGTGAATGTATAATTGACTTAATAAAAAAAGAAACTAAACTCCATAAAAATTTCCATGCAAGAGAGCTGGGTTACGTTCTCTTTTTGTCTCAACGTAACCCATCATTTCATCATATACAGTGAATATATAATTGACTTAATAAAGAAAGAAACTAAACTCCATATAAATATTAGGCCCTGTTTGGCGTGTTTTTTTGGGCAGTCTTTGGATGGTTTACAAGTCAGATAGATTGATTTTTGGTCTATTCCCATTTGGTTCACGGAAGATTTAAACCATCAAAAGTTAGAGTGCCGAAAAGACGTGAAAAGCCCATTTTACGCTGATTCCAGGAAGCTCTGAGTAAAGCTTTTCACGTCTTTTGCATTTTATTCTCACGTGGAAAGATAATAAAGGACACACGGAAAGACGTGTATTTGACAAATTAGCTTGGGCTACTCAGATCTTCACGTAAAATTTCAATACGTCTTTTGACTGTTATAACTACTAAAATTTCTTTATAAAAAGATTTATTAAAAGGCTCCTTAATTTTAGACCTGTTCATGGGCCGGGTCGGGCCGGGCTTTCACTTGTCACTAATGAAAATATACTAGGCCCGAGCCCGAGCCTGGCCCGACCAACGGGCCTATAACTTGGGCCCGAGCCTGGCCCTGGTAAAAAGCCCGAAGCCCGAGCCCGAAGCCCGACCAAATTGAAAAAAAAAACAATTTTCCCTATT